TATTTCTGCTGATGCATCCATTCTTATCATAATGTTCAGTGTGGTGTAAGGAGTTAGCAGGCTGTGCACTGCATTTATCCACTTAATAATTTATTAACTCTAGAGCCCTTCCACTCTTTGACCATATGCCATACGGCAGCAGGCAGCTCTTTAATTTCCTCAGTAAGCAGAAAGTTTAGAGTTAAAGGGCACCTATGCTGAAAAAAACCCAGAGGCTGCCAATGTTGGCTTCTTTCTGACTGTTAATTTCCTGCTTTCTCTGGTCTTTTTATTTTATGAGTATAAACCTATCTGCTCAGCCTGCTTCTTATCCATGCATTGCAGCAGTGCACCAGCTCAGCTCAGTTTACTCCTTTTTCACCATAGTCTGGTTGTCCTGGATCCCACCTGCTGTCAGTTCTGGAGCTTCCCTGCAGGCTCTTTGCCGCCTCTTATAGACAGCAAAAAATGCAGTACTATGCAGTTAGTCTCAGCTACTAGTCAGATTGAAATGTGGAAGTTTGATGTTTAAATATAATTGGTGGTACAGTAAGCAGAGAGAAAATTACACAGCACAGGTATCAGAACAAACACTCCTACTGCCTTTGTGTTGCCCCAGTAAAATCATGTTGCAGTGGATTACAGAGAATTCAGACTTTCAGTCAAAGGATGCCAGGCATAGTGGTGCCAGCAGTGCCACCCCACTGATCACATTTCAGCCTGTTCTATTGGAACCAGCAATTTCCAGCTTTAGGCAAAATGAGTGACAATCTTGATTTTAGCACAGCTGTGGTATTTGCTTTGTTAGTAGCTCATTGATTCCATTCACCGATTGCCTAGAATGGCTCTTTAAAATGATACCATTCATTACTCAATACAGTTGATTGAACATACTAGACATCTTCCTCTGGGTTGGTATCATGCCTGTTAGCAAAAAAAAGAAATCGGATTTGTTTTGAAAGCTTTTTTTTTCAGTCTCCAGAGTTGTCAAAGAAATTTGTATCATTCTAACTGGAAACATTTTCTTTTCACCTATGGCCAACATATTTCAGCATTCTGCTGTCATTATTTCTCTACAATTTTAAGCAACATCAACATTCAAATAGCAATAGCAGAAAGTAGCAATATACATCATGGAGGCAATTGAAATGTGCTTATCTTTATCACAGATGTTTATTTATAGGTTTTGAATTAGTGTTTTGTTATGGTTTTTGAAGTTATGTTTTTTGTCTGTTTTTACTTTATGTATGCAATCTTTGTTCTGAAAATACATTGTTAATATATAAAAATTGCACAACACTATGGCCTATTCAAGTGACATACATTTTTGTGTTTTTTTTTGTTTTTTTTAGCCCTAACATAATAAACAATAGTTTCTTTTTACACACATTTTAGAGCTTACCATATGTTGATTGTAAAAATAAACTATTGTTAGATAATGATCACCTGTGCTAAGGACACACCAATCAATAGTGCACACTCAATATTGAACAAAAAAGACTGCTGCTCCTGTAAAGGTACAACCTTATCAACATAATACCAGAATACCCCAGAAACCAATAAACAGCTCATCCACTCCCTCATCATATCACGACTCGATTACTGCAACTCCCTCCTCACTGGCCTGCCTCGCCACAGGCTATCCCCGCTTTAGTCGATCCTGAATACGGCAGCCAGACTCATCCACCTTACCAACCGCTCCGTTTCCGCCACCCCCCTCTGCCAATCCCTACACTGGCTTCCGATTGCACAACGGATCAAATTCAAAATCCTAACACTGATGTACAAAGCTGTCCACCATACTGCCCCAAACTACATCACAGACCTAATATCCAAGTACCGCCCAGCCAGCACGCACACTCCGCTCCTCACAAGACCTCCTTCACTCTAGTTCTCTGGTCTCCTCCTTCCATGCCCGCCTCCAGGACTTCTCCAGGGTGTCACCCATCCTCTGGAACTCCCTGCCCCAACCCATCAGACTATCACCTACTCTCCTCCCCTTTAGGCGCACCCTGAAAACCCACCTCTTCAGGGAAACCTACCCCACCCCCTACTAATTTCTGACCTCCTCCACTCTACCTACCACTCCATCCCCCACATCTATCTCCTCCTGTGCTACCATCCCCTCCCTCCTAGATTGTAAGCTCGAAAGAGCAGGGCCCTCGAACCCCTCATGTATCGCATTGTATTGGTATTGTTCTGTCACATGTTCTGTCTCCCTTTACAATGTACAGCGCTGAGGGAACTGTTGTCGCTTTATAAATACTGTATAATAATAATAATACACACAGTGACAGGAGTGCTGCCTCAAAATATGTTATATAACAAAAAACAAATTTAAATAATAAAACACATTATTTGATTGTGAAATAAAGTCCGCAATGTGAAATCAGCAAGTGTAAAAAAATTCCTTTTACATCCAGAAGGTGATAAGTGCTCTGTGCTCCCCGCCTGTGTGCCCCCTAACTCACCAGAATCAATGGACTCCTGGGCTAAAATAAGAGTCATTCACACTTTTGGTGGGGCATAGGAAGTCATGCTGGAGCTTGTAGTCCTCCTGGTTAAGGATTGATTGCTTGCTTGCAAAATCTGATGTATCTGTGCATGGTAGCCAATCAGCTTATAACCTCAGTTTGTTTAATTAGGCTCTGACAAAAAAAAAAGGAAGCTGATTGATTTATATGCAGAGCTGCTCCAGATTTTGCACTCTTCAGTTTTAGTAAATAAACCCCTATATGCCCAAAGTCCAAAGCCCAAATAAAAAAAGCAGACATATTTACCTATTTGCTTTCTGGGGACAGAGAAAAACATGCCACTTCCAGGTAGAGAGGCACTTGCAATTCACCTCTTCCAAGTTATGCCTGAGTGGCTAGTCTTCAAGCTCATGTGCTGTCATGTGAGGGTGGGGTCCTTAGCCGTACTCATGCACCGCTCATTGTTGGGTCAGGACTTTGATAGAGGTTTGGTGGGAAGCTCTAGCAGGTGTACAGGATGCCAGGGGATCTCATGAAAGCTAAATGTGTGCTCCATACCATAGGTCTGCATCTCTAGGTTTACTTTAAATATATGTATTTACCAATGGGAAATGTTTATTCTTAGTTTGTGTAGCTAACGATTCTGTAGAGGTTTATATTGCTTAAATTCTATTTATCAGAAAGTATGTGACACAGTTATGGCGTGCCTGCCAGCTTATTCTTCCTCATTGCACAGGCTTTCTTCCAGGCTGAAGTCTTTCATTGCCTATCTGATTTAGAGTGCCTGCCAACACTGTCAGCAACATAAAGCCAAATCAGATAAGACCCATTGTCATAATAAAATAATCACCTTGGTAGGGAAAAAAAACTTTTTGTAATTTACTTCTACGCATCAGAGTAGCCATCTCATTATAGCCAGCAATGATGGTTATAATTTGACAGGCTTCAGGTTAAATAAACTAAACATAAGCCAAAGATTTCATGCTCTTGTCTGTGACCTTGTGAGATCAACTGTATGTTGTTATTGAAGAGGTTTAAAAAAGTTCAATGTTATCAAGCCATCTCCTAATATTAGAAAACCTTGTGCTATCTCTATCATCTTTCACTGTGAGCCTCATTCCTACTGCAAATGTTTCATCTAATCATAAGGTGGGCAGAAGGACATGGATCTTTAATATCCTGTCAGGAAGATGTGGGTGATAATGAAAAAAAATAAATAGACCTTTTCAGATTTTTTTCCATTTCAGAAAAATTAAAGTTTCTTTTTCCCCCCCAAATAGAGACAAAATGATTCTCTTTTTTCCTGTGTTGTGTAGGTAGAAATTCCATTTACTGCTATCTTTTTGATGTATGGTTCTAGGTTTCAAACCTGAGTGGGATGTTTTCTTTGCTGTAGAATCTGTAGATGATGGAATGAAAAGTTATTTTTCTCCGGAGTCACTATCAATAGAAATTGATGGTAAGCTGTATTTATATGGGAGTGGAGATATATTGAGACAAGGTTTTCCTCTTAGTTTCCTTGGAAGAAAAAAAATGACCCTAAGTGTAAGGCCCAAATGCTACATTTGCACATAATTGTTGAGGGCGCACACTGGCTCAGTGGTTACCATTGCCACTTTGCAATACTTGTGTCCTAGGAACAGTTTCCACCTAAACATTACATGTGTGCATGTATGCAGGGGTTATCTCACTCAGTCCATACCCTAAGCCTTAAGTGGCTTCTACCCAAATGGATGCTAGTGCGTGCTTGTGGTTCTTCCCAAATGGACACTGAGATACACCTATATGACTGAGGTACACATTTATGATTGTACGATCCTCTAGAAAGAGATTATTATGAATACAATAGGATTTTGGGGTTACCTAGGTTTATGGTGGTTAAAGAATAACTCCAGCCACATTTTGTCTTTATTTTATAGTTTTGGGCATAGTGAGGAAGGATTATGATTGCTGTTTTTATTGCTGTCAAAATTTCATTGAAAAGATTTCCCCATACTCCTTGTGACTCCTTGTGACAATGACAACACTATGACCAGGAAAGGACAAAATAATCTCAGAGATTTTACTGGCAGTAATTCATTTCATGACCTTTATTTAGTTCATGAATGGCTACAGACAGTCTCTTGTGCATGGAAAACAAATTATCCAAACGGTCAGAAAACATGCTTCCTTATCATTGCACTTTTGTTCCTCTTAAAGAGCCAGAAGATAAGATATAGTGTATATTGTCAAAAACAATAAACATAATAGGAAGCTATTTGTCCACTCAGATATGTTTATGCTAAATTTGTTATCCCTGTTAAAATTTACATATGATGCTCAATCATATAAACCAGTTGGAGTCAGAGGTCTCATTTGCTGTGATAGCATTACAGAAGAGGACATATCTCTGTATAATTATATGTGGTAGGAGGGGGTAGGGGGTCTGTGGGAGGCAAACATGGATAACAGAAAGGTCCTTGTTAAAACTTCACATGTATTGAAGTGTAGCAGCATTGATTAGATCAGGTACTCAGAATTCTGAAACTATCTCTTTTTATTTTACAGTATGGATTAAAAAAGAAAGAAGAAAAGGAAGCTGAAGAGAAAGCAGCAATGGAGCAACCTTGCGAGGGCAGTTTGACTCGCCCAAAGAAAGCCATCCCTGCAGGATGTGGGGATGAGGATGAGGAGGAAGAAGAGAGTATTTTGGACACAGTACTCAAGTACCTCCCAGGTCCTCTTCAGGACATGTTCAAAAAGTAACCACAGCCAGCCAAGCGGACCTCTTCTTTAGCCAAACTTATTTTCAGCTACAAAAAAGGGACCAGCAATGAAATCCTTGATGACAAGAGAAATAAATAAGCACACGAATGGAAAACACAAGTATAAGCAAGCATTTGTCTAGCCACATGTTCTGTACCAACAAACAAAAAAAAAAAATACATGCAAACTTGCAACCACGAACGCACACAAACGTACATATCTGTGAACGCAAGGACACAAAACACCTCTTCTCTTTTACTTTTTTGGACATTGGTCTTTATGCCATACATCATATCAAATGGACCAAGCTCACTGCTGCTTAAAAATGCTGGTCTAAGCAGTGACAGATTTGACAACTTCTGCCAGTTTTGGAGCAGTAATCAAAAAGGTGCTCACTCTTGAGCAGATCTTCTAGCAGGATAATCCATTAGGGTTAACTAACATGCCCTATACGGGTCTGCTAGATGAGAAGCCTGGAAAGTTCCAACTCTCCATTGCTCATCTGTAATTTAACCCTCATAATAATCCTTGGAGTGTTATGTGTAAATATTTAGCTCCTTTCCCGTAAGGGCACTAGGATGCAAAGTGGCAAAGTTCATATGCAGAATTAACGTCCATTTTGTGAATTTTGTCACACACTTTGTGACATCTGGGAGCTTGGAATATGTCATGAGATGCATGTGAAGAAACCCGGGTGTGTTTCCATCTGTTCTGTACATTGTATATTGTGTTTTTCTGCTTTTTGCCTCCCCTTATTTTTTCATTGCTTACGGGACCTGCAGTAGACAGCTTCTGGACTTCAGATGTTCTGAAATATCAATCATATTCCTTCTAAGAACACAGAGACAAACATCTTAAAGTTCTGGATGGGTCTGGATACAAGCTGCAGGTCTCTTAGCAATGCTGTTCAAGGGGAAGTATGATAAAGGAGTCCAGGGCGTAGAATAAGACCTACTCCATGGGCTCTGACTTGGACCAAGAGACTTCTTGTTGGATTTCTATGACTCTAATAATGCTGACTGCATGCTTAGAAAATTACAAGTGTTTGATGCCTTTTTTAAAAATTGGAAGCACTGTCTGTCTTAGTTCTGTGCCTACCACCATAGTTACTGTTTACATTCATAACACAATGACCAGATTAGAGCTGGTGTGTGTGTATATATATATAGGCATGTGTGCATCTGTTTTCAGCCAATCTTTCTTTAATTTAAGATAGTTTTTTATCAAACCAAAGTGATTTATCTCTTTATATGTTTATCAATGTCTGTTTTTAAGTCTACCGTCTTCATTAGTTAACCATTTTGTCTCCTTGGGACAAAGTGATTTTACAAGGACCAAACTGCAGACCCTGGTAAAGAAATAGCTGATATTTTGATTCTGTACTTCTTTGTGGCCCAATGTGAAAATATACTGCTTTTTTATTTTTTAGCCTTAGCAACAACCCTATCCAGCAGCATAGTGTACCTCTCCAGTCAGTGCATTTTGCAATATGTTTGCAGTTGTAAAGAGCTAGCATCAGTTGAGGGACCAGTGCACAGCTTACTTTTTCAGAGCCTTGAGGGCCAGTACAGATATAGTAAGTTTGCAGTAGCTTATCATAGTGACTGCTGTTTGACAAAAACTAAAACAATCACATAAGAACTAGGGTATTTATTTATTCCTAATTATGTAAAGTACTTTTATATTTTTTTTAGTAACAATGCCTAGATTAGCAACTTTTGCAAAGAAACTGCCAGATGAATACTGTAACATTCCAGAGATTGGACCTGAAGACAAGGATCCATACATTGATTCTCCTATGACCAAGTTCTAGATAAGTGGTTATTGCTCTGTAAAGTGTCAGTTTCATAGTGTCCTGGGACCACAAAACATGTATTACCCAATAAAATGTACTCTATATATATAAATATTTACCTATTGGAGGGTGTAGCTAAAACATTAGATTATAGGACCAAATTTGAGGTCCTGAACCAAAAGGTTTGGGATTTCTGTTTTAACGCAAATACTACAGACTGACTTAAATGTTCCCAAAATCCAATATTACTGCCTTACCACTTTATATGTATTGCAGTTAGGAAATATCACCACAACAGTACATTATTACAGTTTACTTTCTTCACACATTGCTATGTACATAATTTAATGTGTGTAATTACTATAATATCTTAATATTGCATTGGTGAAATACTGAATTTTCAGTGACAGCGTAAATAAAAGGCAAGGGCTGTTAAACTATATACTTAAACGGACACTATTTTAAACTATCACTATATTGTAAAAGTATGATTGAGATAGATATATATATATATATATATATATATATATATGTATATATATGTGTTTTTTAGAAGTGATGATAACAATATTAATAATAAGCTGGGATACTGTGAGTGGTCCTTGCGTACATTTATGTACAGTTCTGTGTGTTTATATATATGTGTATGTCCAGTCTGTATGTACGTACATGAAGATGTTCTATGTTGCCGCTTATGTTTCCTGTGTGTTTTGACTATCATATCCTATGACTTTAAGTAAAGAGTATATGTTTCATACATGCATGCTTCTGTTTCACAGTGATACCAAGCTGCCCATGTCACATGGCTGGGAGCCAGCCAACAGTGACCAGTCGCTGAGGCCCCAGGGCTTCTGTAGGAGATAAAGCCATAGCCATTACTTGCTGTCTTGTAAAGTTTGTGTTGTATTCTGTTCATTTTGTTATGCACACAAGTATATATGATTCAGCAACAACTCTGCCCTAGAGGTACTGTTGGGGAAAAATCTGAAAGCAATCAATACTGCCTGAGATCTTTGAGTTGTGAATGCGATATTACAATTTTATGTCACAAGAGATATGACATCTTTTTTACTATGCATAAACATAGTAATGAAAAAAAATGAGCAAACTCATTTGTTTCTGTTTCTGTTGTTTGTATCATTTATGCACTGTTATTCCAGTACGATAAAAAAAAAATTTGCACTTTATCTTCAAAGAGAATATGACATGTTTGGGGAACCTCAGTTCAAAAACACAATTTTTTGCTGAAAGTGAGGTTTAATGTTAGTGATGTAACTAATCCAGAGATAGTATGCACCCAGGAGTTTTGGGATGGCTGCCTTAGAAGTCAACCTAAAGTGAGTCTGAATTCAGGTAAGGAAAAAAGTATTAGACCATCCCAATTCAGATTTTTAAAAATTATGTATTCTAATGGAATTAACTATCCACTGACTTATGTGGAACTCTAGAAGCAATATCTACTTGCCTGTATTCTCATTCATATTCCCTGCTGCAGTTACTGCAAAGACAAGCAAGGACTTTGTTATTCGTCTTGTTACTTGAGCCACCTCAGGCTTGAAAAGTCTCAGGCAGGTGTGGAGACCAAAAAACTCATTTGCAAATATTACTTACTGCTAAAGCTGGTCATACATTAGCCGATTTTTGAATGAACATACATAAAAAAATTATCATGAATACTATTCAATAACTTAACAAATGTTATTCAAAAGTACCTCAAAATAATTTTGCTATTAACATTTGATTTTGGAATGAATGCAATTTCCTGAATGAAATTTACATACACTGTTAGAAATTTGTTCAAGAAAAAATTCTCAACTTGCCCCTTCTCTCTTCTCTTCTATTCTCTCATCACCGGGGTTGAAAATGAACGTCAATTTGACTCACCAATGATTCAAAAACAGACAATAGTTTCTGAAATGAAGGATTTCAAACAAAATTCTTCTAGTGCCCAACTTTAGTCTTCTAATGGCCAACTTCAGTCCTGAAATTACAAAGCTGTTGGGTGGTTCAACTCACTGGCATTAGGCTGAAATAGTTTTCAATGGATTGATCCTTTAAAACAAATATAGTAACTATCTTCTATAATTAGCAAATTGTAAGATTTCTACAAGCTGCATGCAGCAAAATGTTTAGACAGTTTCATATACAGAATATACTGCCTAAGTATGAGTAGAGGCTACATTTTGTGCTTTTAGAGGCACAACTGATACCCAGAGAGAAGTTGGGCATCCATAACAGGGGAATTCTGCTCTTAGACAGTCATCGCTGGAACAAGTGTAGAATATTTACCCTCATCTCCTGTTCTGGTGACAATTGTAAAATTTTGAATTTCCCATCATTTTCTGAGGTGTTGGCAATCATCACCAGGACAAACAGGGAGAGATTTACTAAAACTGGAGTGCTCAGAATCTAATGCAGCTGTGCATGTTAGCCAAACAGCTTCTAACTTCAGCTTGTTCAAGCAAGCTTTGGCAATAAACCTGGAAGCTGATTGGTTTTTATGTAGAGTTGCTCCAGATTTTGCAATCTCCAGCTTTAGTAAATCTCTCCCACAGAGATGTTGGATCTACCTAGTGGAGACATGGGCAGCAAAAAAATTACAGAGTGTTTAACCCTTTCCTACTTTATCCAAAACTAAAAAAAAAAGTTTTGGTTATACATATTAAATATTGTACTGCACATCATTCTGTATATTGACATTGTTACATATTTCTCAGCAACACCGTTGTAGCCTGCAGAGCCTCCAAATTATTATAATGATCTTACAGGAAACACTACTGCATTCTGCAGTTTGTGCACCCCTGGCAAACTCACCAGTAGGTACAATGATACCATCCCAACAGAATGCCTTTAAGAACACAACCCAGTCTTGTGGAAGACAGGGGCCAGGTTTGATCCAGCAATTGTCTGCTACAATAGTATGTATAGGGCTTTGGTAGTATCTAAAATGGGTTTGGGAAGCACAGCTTTAGGACATGTCCTTAAAGCCTTCCATAGGTTTCATTTCATGCTGGTTCATAATAGCTGTTTTCTGCACTACCATAAATCCATAAACATAATGCACAGTGAGGAACATCTCTAGAACTTTAATATAATTATGCATTTTGGCAAGATAGCAAAAGAGACAAGATTATTCTTTATTTAATACTTTGTGTTTTGGGGAAAAAATGCACAAAGTGTAGATATTTCCTGAGTTTATCTTTGT